TTTTCTCCATGTACCTGTGCCTGTCCCCCACTGCTGCCTGTCCCTCCTGCATTTGCCCCCATCTTGTGCCTCCTGTCATATACCTGCTGCCTGACCCTCCATGACTGTTCCTTGTCCCCTGCCTCCTGTCCTCCACCCCTGGGCACCTTCCAACCCTACTTCTATGACTCTATGATTCTATGATCCTGTCTCTGCTAGGTCTTCCCACTGACTTGACAGCCACATCTTCCTCAGTAGTGAAGGACACAGACACCTATAAACAAAAATTAAAATTATAAATTAAGCCCAGAATTGAATTGGTAATCAGGGGAGGGTACAGAGCACTGGAAAGATATATTTTCATGAACATTAAGAGTACTGCATTTATATTTTGCTATTCAGCAGCTGAATAAGAATGCCCAGCTTTGGAAAGATTGGCATATACAAGGAAGCCAGAAACTGGGCTGAACAAAAGTTGCAGGTGCATTACTGGATTCCTTAAACCAGCAAATGTCAATAGTCTCCACTTACTTGCCAGAATCACTCCACCAGACTTGAGGAGAGTAATAGCAAGCACAACAGACTACATCCAACAAACTGAAGATAAAAGGCACCCACTATATATGGCCACATTGCAGCTTCCAGTAGACTAAAATCATGGAAAAGTCTCCTCTCCACAACACAGCCACTGGATGAAATGCCAACAGCCACATGAAAAAAATGCAGCAGGCATGACTACAGATGACCCAGGAAGGAGTTAGGATGAATATCAAAACTGCCAAACATTTCTCTGAAGGTGAGAGCTCGATTGGCCAAGATCAAGAAGCTTGAACAGCCTCCAAACAGGGACTGGTAAATTCTTAAAGTTAGCATGCTACTGTGGAAATACTCTAATGACAAAAACACCATGTGCAAATGTAGAGAAAACTTTCAGACTATAGAACACCTACTGGGGTCTCCCCGTGTATAGGGGAACTATGCATCAGTGAGGACCTCACTAAGATTGAGCATTAGTATGTGCCATTATTGGACCCAAATTTGCACATGGTGACAGGATATTAAAAAAATGATTAGCTAGTCTTAGCTCCTTCCTGGGTGTTGGCAATGGCAGTTGGATTATATCTCATAAAATAATGTGTGAAGAAACTAGTTTGGACAATGGATTTGCCTAGTCCCTGTTTCAAGGGCAGATCTACCAAAACCAAGTTTATAGACCGCTATAGGGAAGGTACAGAGACTCTCTGCAAAACCACTAGGTGCTCTGGGAGTGGGGGGGGTGGGGGGCGTCTATACATGATCCTCTGCACCCCGCCACCCCTCCGAGAGCCACTCTAATTAAAGCGTCCAGAGCATCTCTTGTATCAGTGTCCCCACACTTCAAAATGGCAGTGAGGGCACTTTATCGAAAGCTTGTCAAATGAGCTTTTGATAAGGTGCCTCCACTGCCATTTTGAAGTGCAGGGATGCTGATACATGAGACACTGGAAGCTGCTGGAGTGCAGTAATTACCACACTCCAGCAGACTCAGTTCACTCTGTAGTTATACAGTGCATCTGAGCAGACTTGCTGCTCATGGATAGGCACCCATGGGAATTAAGAGATACAGTATTTTGCTATAATTTATCCATAGCCTCTGGTAGGTTCCATGGACTGTAAAGTTTGAAGTTTCAGCGGAAGTTCACAGTCTCCTGTCCCTTAGTGATTCCTTTGGAAGTTTCAAACTGGCCTTTTGTTCTTAATCAAGCAGAATTGTTTTTGGAGTCAATGTTATGGGAATTAAATAAGCACCAAGTAAAAACTGAGTAAGGACATGATGGTGTGGGCAGCTAGACAATATTTTTTTCTTGTAGATCAGAGGTGGGCAGTTATTTGGGCTGGAGGTTTTGGTGAGCCATTGTGGGTTGGGAGGAGGTAGAAGGGTAGTGCTGACCCAACCTAGCACAGCAGGGGAGTTTGCTGACCCTGCCTTGGTGAAGCGGGGGTAGGGACAACTGATCCTATCTGGCTCAGGCCCATCTGCCCCACACTCACCACCAGTGGCACCAGATGGAACAGGTGGGCAATATCTCCATGGAGACTGGCCCCTGCAGGCAGGGCACGCTCAGTTGGGTGGATGAAATTGGGCCACGGGAGGGCGGGGGGTGTCTGCAGTGAGCATGATGGTGAGGATGAGTGGGTGGCAATG